ATGCTGATCAACAGCTGGACCTTCAAGGTTTAAGTGTAGTTTGGTATTTTGGAGTTCAGACGTCCAGCTGTTGTCTGACTGATGTTGACTGTGTCTCAGCTCCTGACCAATTATACGGCGTTCTCTGTCACAACCTGCATGTTGTCTGTAGGTTGACATAACAATTATAGATTGTATATATCACACCGTGAAGCAGAGGCCTCATTTTAAAGCCTTTACCTTATAACTGTGTGGCTGCCACCACATTGGAGCCTGAAGTGACGATCTGTTAGTACAATTAACCGCACACCAGATATATCAATATTGTTATTATTATTATTATTATTATTATCATCATTATTATTATTATTATTATTATTATTATTATTATTATTTATCAGATAATTGCATTAAAAATGCTTCAAAAAGGCTCCAACTGTACAAACACAGCTCAGGAACTCAAGTCGCCGTCCTGCTGTCAGCCAAAGAGGCCACGCCCCCACGAATATAACTTTAATAATTAACATGGCATCAGAGACCAAGACTGTTTTCTGTATTAGGCTGTAAACATGTTTGTTTCTGGTGTAAAGTGGACTTTTAACACGGGAGTCTCTGTGGGCTGTTGCCCTTTTGGAGCCTCAAGTGGACGTTGGAGGAACTGCAGGCTGTGAGTTTGCTGTTTGGCCGTGATGGCTCATCATAAACAAATCCAGTTTGTCTCTTTGTCGCTGTCAGAGTGCGGTCTACGCCAGGCGGTGGGCCTTCACCCTCACAGGAAGAAGCGGATTCTGGGTGGCCGGGTGTCCCGGCGGGGGGCGTGGCCCTGGCAGTGCTCGCTGCAGAGCGGTCAGAGCGGACACGTCTGCGGCTGCGTCCTCATCGCCCGGAAGTGGGCTCTGACAGTCGCCCACTGCTTCGAGGGGTAAGGCGTCAGGACGTGTCGTCAATGAGCCGCGTGTTATTTTAACCTCGAACACTAAAGGCGTGCGTGTGTCACAGGAGAGAGAGTGCAGACCTGTGGAAGGTGGTGCTGGGCATCAACAACCTGGACCACCCGGGAGGTCACAGTCAGAGCCGAGGGGTGCGCTCCATCGTCGTGCACCCGCGCTACAACCGGGCGGTGGTGGACTACGACATCAGTATAGTGGAGCTGGACTCTGAGGTCAGAGCGTGCTGCTGCACAGGATCGAGTATCAGCTGTAGTCGCACTGGACTGATGAGGCGTGTTAATGTTTGCAGATCGAGGAGACGGCCTTCGTCAGACCGGTGTGTCTGCCTCAGCCGGGCCAGCTGCCTTTACCCGACTCCTACTGTTACATCACCGGCTGGGGTCACATGGGCAACAGGAGTGAGTACACACACTTCCCTCTTTGGCCGTATCCCACTCCTACTCTTAGACTAAACTCGCTTTTTGTACAAGTAGGCACGCACACATCTTTCAATCATTTTTCATCTACCAGAGTTTTATTCTCGTCACGTAGAGTCGGTGCATTTAGACTTTGCAGAGTGCTGCTCTCTGTCTTCATCTGCTGGTTGAAAAACATCAGGCTGGCAGCTCTTTTTGAAAGCAGGAAGAATGAGCCGAGTCAGAGTTTCTGCTCTCGTTATTCAGACGTCACTCTGAGAGAGAGTGGATATAACTCACTTCCTCATGCTGCTCTGTGCTCAAGCGCTCTAAATCGAGACTCCATCACCGTGAAAGTTACATAAACTTGAAATCACGCAGCTTGGTTTGAAACTACAAACCCTTCTCCTGCTTGTAAAGTTGTAACTGATGTTTCATTAAACTCTCAAACTGGTTTCATTCATTTCAGATTAGCGAGCAGTTAAGCAAGAAAACTCTGCGCGTAGCTTACCAAAGATATTGTGTGGATTGAAATGAGCTTGGAGCGCGTCTGGTCTCACTGTTGCACCCACACGTGTGTCACAGGACCGACGCCGATCCTGGGAATGCTCCAGGCGTGGCCGGGTCGCGTTCCAGCTCCGATGCAGCTGCTGCAGCTGGTCGTTTCCACTCAGGAAAATATTCGAGTTTCCACCAGATACACACCAGCATGTTTCAGGGTCACACAGTGGCTCCAAAAATAACACCAAGTCTAGGTGTTAGGTTTTTCAGTCTCCATGATCATAATCATAATCTGCCTTTTCACTCAATAAGTGCTCAAACGCTTTCTACTTCACGTCTCAATCACCCATGCACTCATGCAGCTTTTACATTTACACACTTAGACACCAGTGGATGCATCAGGGGCAACTTGGAACGACATAAAAGACGTGCTTTTGTTAGTCGCCAAGAGCGTCCTCCATGTGAAAACAGCGCTCGTTCTTTCTGATCTTTGAGCTTTAACGTCCTTTGAAAGGAAAGCTCAGAGCACTTCCAGATCCTGAGCGCTCTCATTATATTTAAAGCCTCCTCTTCGTCCTGTGTGTTTGTGTGCAGTGCCCTTTAAACTGCAGGAAGGGGAGGTCCGGATCATCTCTCTGTCTCAGTGTCAGTCCTACTTCGACATGAAGACCATCACTCCCAGAATGCTTTGTGCCGGCTATGAAGCTGGAACCGTCGACTCCTGCATGGTAACATCTGCACCCACATTAGTGTGTAAGTACCGAGCCCACACAGTTTCTCAGTGTGTGTGTGTTTAACGTGTGTGTTCAGGGCGACAGCGGCGGCCCACTGGTGTGCGAGGAGAGCAGCGGCCGCTGGACGCTGTTCGGCCTGACGTCGTGGGGCAGCGTGTGCTTCAGTAAAGTGCTCGGACCCGGGGTTTACAGCAACGTCACGCACTTCACCCCCTGGATCCAACAGCAGATCTACATCCACACATACCTGACCGACTGACACATACGCTCACTCGCCCGACACTTCCTGCTCCAAGCTCTCGTTCATTCCAGAAGGAAGTGATGTCATCGTCAGCCACAACACACGTTCGGTTCCTTAACCTGTGCCTATACTGATAGCTTCAGACGCTGTGTGAGCAGCTCGCTGATGTTGTCGGTGATTGAAAGCTACATCCATACAATCACTGAACTCTGATCGTATTGTTTTTATTACTCGACACATTCACACCTACAAACATCACAGAAACAAAAACCTCTGTGACGGTTAACCAACGCTCAGTGCTTCATGCTGGACTTTACACTAAGATACTTTTAAATTATGTAGTTCGAACCAAACATTAAACTTCCCGGGCTGAAAAAATGACGAAGCGTCAAAGACGGCAGTTCCTCTGCTGGGCTTCATCTCAGCTAACTGAAGTCACAGGAAACACCCACTTTTCAATTCAATTTATTTCAGTTCAACTTTGTTTATATAGAACCAAATCACAACAACAGTTACATCAAGATGCTTTATATTGTAAGGTAAACAAACTTGAATCCTGAGCAATGAAACAGTAAACTCTGGTTAAACTCCATCATGAGACATTCAGCAGTGGTTTCATTTCACAGCATTTTGCTTCTGTCACAAACTACAGACCTAACAACTGCTCAAAGTGAAACTGGTTAAAAAGATGCTGCTCAAAACCTCTAGTTTGACCAGTTCAACCAGTCCAAGCCAAACAGATTGCAAAGGTTGCATCGAAGCTTGTCTGCAACTGCTCACCAAGCAGAAGGAAAACGTAGAAGTGTTTGACGCGCAGTCGGCGAGTAGTTGCAGGTTGGAGGTTGCGAACCAGCCTCCAGGCCTGAGTGAGGACTTAGAGCAGTAGTTCAAACTCAACGTTGTGATGTTCATGTGTATCAGATGGCACATGGTCTGTTTCCAAGAACTCCATAAACTTCTGGTTCAAACTTTAAATCAGCATTAAAGCAGAAAAACTCCATTTCAGTCATTTTCTCCGGCTACTTTGCCGGAAATACTCCTCAAGGTTTCTGAAGAACGTTGTCTTAAGGAGGAGCTAAAACAGCTTGTTTCAGACATAAGTTAAAGAAGGATTATTATAAAGTGTGACTCATGCACAGCTACTCTAGAAACATCAAGGAATACATATATGGAGCTGGAAATGAGCAGGATAGATTCACTTACTTACCTAACTCTTTAATCCCTATTTTAAAAAGTATTTAATAACAGCAATTAACAGATTAATGATAGTTTTGCAGCTGTGATACAAAATTGTGTTTGTGTTAAACATCCTGTAAGCAGAAGCTAAATCTGCTGTTTCAGAGAAAGTTGAGGACTGTTTCCCAGACAGTAGCTGTGAAACCGAACATTTAATGATATTAAGGCGTTTAGCGCTGAAGCTGCTAAAACAGACCAGCCGAGCACTCATTCTCCCACAATGCTTCACTCTATAGTGCCTAGCAGTAAAAAAAAAGAAGAAAAAAAACAAAAACAAATTTGTTACTTGTACAATGTCGTACTGTACGTGTGTGTGTGAGTGTACGCTGCTGTGTGAGCCTCAGAAAGTGCTTCAAACCACACTGGCAATTTATATCGGGCAACTTTGTTGGTCAACATGTAACTTTGTTCTCGCAGCTGCTAGTTCCATTTATTTTCTTTCAGACAGAAACCTGTAACTGACCCCCCCGACCCCAGTCGTGCTGTATAATGGCACATGAAGATGTAACACAAGCTTTATTTTTGTATATAGCATACACCGATGTAGTTTTAAGCTGTGTTTATTCATGTTTGTTTACGATGATGAAAAATGTCTTCAGAGGTGAAGTTAGGACAATGCAGATCATTAGCCTTTAAAGTTTCTGGCTTACAGATATATCGTTAGTAAACAGTTAATAACACGCTTATTATAAATGATAAATCAGGGGACTTGAAGTAAAGTAACCTAAATGTTCATCAAAGTGGATAAAGCGCAAAAAAGCAAATATTTAAACTGCCTGTGAAGTATAACTTTAATGTATTGCTAATGTGGAAACATTAGTATTAATCCAAATGTTAACATAAGACATATGAGCTTTATCTCATGTATGAGACGGTCAGACTGTAGTTTAAAGCTAGCAGACTCACTAACACAAACGATTAACTGCCAAATTAGCGCCAGCTAGAGTACGAAGCACAAATGTAGCACAGTATAGAGCGTTTAATGATGTGTTTTCATAGCGTTAGCACTAAGCTACATTAGCTTTTGCTGTGTATTTACAAGCCGTTTAGGTCCAACTGTTCAACAGTAACAGTTTTCACACCGTAGCTGAACTAGAAGGAGGAAAAAATATATTAAGACTTCATTAAAACTCACAACAGACGGTTTGTTTGCAGTTTACGTGTCTTGACGGCGTTTTTTTTAGATGACTCTTCAAACACGGAGAGGGAAAAAAAAAAGGTTGAATTGTCTTTGTTGCAGTACTCCGAGTGATCACTGGGGTGTTGCCTCTATTTACATACACATGTTTACCACATTTATGCTTTAAGCTAACTGCCTCACACTGAATTCACTGAAATATTAATGGTAACTGTTTTTGTTTGTTTTGTTTGCCTCATATGTGTGACAAAAATACTCACACAGACAGCAAAGAAGCATCAATACAACAGAGGAAAACCCTAACTCATACTGAGGCCTAGAGACCCTCAGCAACCTCTGGTCACAGGGGGAAACATGTAGTCCTCAATCGGTTGGCAAGTGGTTGCTAGCTGTTGCCGGGTGAAATCAGTCACAACAAAGGTGAACCACCAAAAATCTCCATGTGATGCTTGGTTGTTAGCAGTTTGCAGTGACTCCTCCTAATTTGTCTGGAAGACATCTTCTCATTTTTCCCTGCACACAGTGGTTGCTCGGTGGTTGCCAACCAGTCTCTAGGCCTTGTGACTGGAGCCTTAGACTTCTGGGGGATCTGGGAGATCTGGTGGAGCATGCAGGTGGTGATTCCTGTTTTTCTCCACCAGAGGCTCCAAAAGGCTGAATGCTGGTCATGATACACCCTGCAGTTATCTGGGCTTTTGTTTCAGAAAGCAGGTTTAGTGAAAACTCTGAGTTTGTCAAACCTGACATGTAAGTTTAAAACAAAGGTGGAAATGTTTCTTGGAGGCTGTGAATTTGTTTCACTTGGCGAGATCAACATTTTAGCACTTCTCCCCATTTCGACTCCCTGTGAACCCAGTGGAAGAGTTGCCCAACGAATTGCCCCGTTGACCTTCTGTGCTGAGGTCGGACTCACATCCAGAACATTCCAAGTTGCTGCTGCTGATGTTGTTTTGTGTGTTTGGTTTTTTAAGAGTATTTTTCTACAGCGTTTTGTATGTCATGCTTCTTACACAGGGCTGTTAGTGTGTGTGTGTGTGTGTGTGTGAGCACACAGTCACATGTACGGACTGTGTGTTTGTTTCTTCCTGATTTAGCTGTTATGACTTTGTTATCATGATGATGATGATGATGATGAGTAATGTTTGATTATATGGATTCAAATGCTTTATGGACAGACTGTAGCCTTTAATGTTTGTGTAAACAGTGAATATTTGGTTTATATCATCTTGTATCACACTAATAAACTTATACACACACTCTCTCCTCTGTGTGTTTTGACCTAAAGTACTCTAAACACGAGTCATGAAAGGTTTGCCGAGGGTTATGTTTAGATTAAGTAATGCGCGACTGCATATGTGACTCACGGCGTGTCTGCAGAGGCGTCACGTCTCTTTCCACTTCCTCTAGTCCAGAAAAAGAGATAAATAATGGAGATGTTGAGTGTCAGAAGTATCTTTAGATGGAGATTTTAAATAGAACGTGCTCAGACTGGAGAACTGTGCTCTGG